GTATAGTAGGTGGCTATGATACAAAACTCACTTAAGTCACTCAGAGGTTTTCCATTGACTTCCAAGCAGCTTTGGGCAGAGGCCTAGATCAACCGTTTCTTTGGCTTTTGAAATTAGAATGCATACAAACTGTGCTCTGAACTCCTTATGGTTTATAGAAAAGTATAGGTCTGGCATAAAAAAATCCTTATTATCCCATTTAATTATGTATTTTGCAGCGTTTGATGTGTTAAGGTCCTTTTAAAAGGGGAATTTTCAGTGAGGCTTTTTGACTTTCCCATAGAGTTGGGGATTGCCAACCTCTGAAGATGTTCCCTTCAGGCATATTTTTACTACTATTTAACCTGGATGAAGATTTAACTAAGGAAACAGTCCATATACTTTTGTGCAGCTTATCTTAAACCATCATCTTTGAAAACTCCTGGTGATCACGAGAGGTCCCAAGTGGTTGAAAACAGCAAACATACTGCCCATATTTAAGAAAGAAAAAGGAGGATCCAGGGAACTACAGACCAATCAGCCTCACCTCAGTCCCTGGAAAAATTGAGCAGATCCTCAAGGAATCCATTTGTAAGCACTTGGAGGAGAAAAGGGTGATTAGGAACTATCAGAATGAATTCACCAGGGCAAAGCCATGCCTGACCAACTGGATTGCCTTCTACGACAAGGTGACTGGCTCAGAGAGACCAGTGGATGTGGTGTACCTTGATTTTAGCAAGGCTTTTGATATGGTCTGCCACAGCATTGTTACAGGTAAGCTAAGGAAGTAAGGCTGGATGAATGGCCTGTAAGGTGGATAGAAAACTGGCTGGAGCATCAGGCTCAGAGAGTAGCAATCAATGGCTCAATGTCTAGTTGGCTGCCAGTATCAAATGGAGTCTCCCAGGGGTCTGTCCTGGGGCTGGTTTTGTTCAATGTCTTAATCAACGACCTGGAAGATGGCATGGAGTGCACCCTCAGCAAGTCTGCAGATGACACCAAGCTGGGGAGAGTAGTAGATACACTGAAGGTTAGGGCTAGGATTCAGAGTGGCTTAGACAAATTGGATGACTGGGCCAAAAGGAATCTCGAGTTTCAACAAGGACTAGTCCTGCACTTAGGATGGAACAATCCCATGCACCAGTACAGGCTGGGGGCTGACTGGCTGGGCAGCAGCTCTGCAGAAAAGGACCTGGGGGTTACAATGGACAATAAGCTGAGTATGAGTCAGCAGTGTGCCCTAGTTGCCAAGAAAGCTAGTGGCATACTGGGCTGCACTGGTAGGTGTGTTGCCAGTAGGTCAAGGGAAGTGATTATTCCCCTCTATTCAGCACTGGTGAGGCCACATCTGGAGTACTGTGTTCAGTTTTGGGCACCCCGCTACAGAAAGGATGTGGAGAAATTGGAGGGAGTCCAGCAGAGAGCAACAAAATGGTGTTGGGGCTGGGGGACATGATTTACGAGGAGTGGCTGAGGGAACTGGGCTTATTTAGCCTAGAGAAGAGAAGACTCAAAGGGGATTTAATAGCAGCCTTCAACTACCTGAAGGGGGTGCTGAAAGAGGATGGAGCTAGACTGTTCTCTGGTGGCAGATGAGAGAACAGGGAGCAATGGTCTCAAGTTGCAGCAAGTGAAGTTTAGGTTAGATATTAGGAAGAATTTTCTCACTAGAAGGGTAGTAAGGCACTGGAACAGGTTACCCAGAGAGGTGGTGGAGTCTCCATCCTTGGGGGTTTTCAAAACATGGCTGAACGAAGCTTTGTCTGGGATGATCTAGTTAGGGCTGCTCCTGCTTTGAGCAGGGGGTTGGACTAGATGACCTCCTGGGGTCCTTTCCCACCCTAACATTCTGTGTTTTTATAAGATGTGCCAAGTAGCTGCTCGAAATATATGCCAACTGCTCAAGTTTTGTAAACTTTCCACAGCATGCACCTTACTCACTCTTCCTCACTATACCTTGGGTGTACAAATGACAGCCTCCTCTATGTTTCCTTTTGTAATAAATTTGAAATATTTAAAATGGGGATGCACTTTTTTCTGGAATTACATATTGTGGCTGAAATGCACCCTTTAAAGGACCTATCTGGCAAAAGCTGTGTCTGGGGAATTAGGATTTTTATATGCGTTCTATGGGTATGTCCCCATGAGCGGGAACGTGCATTTCCCCAGGGACAAATAGCAGCAGCACATAGTTTCCTCCTGCACGCACGCTCTGGAGTGCGGCAAATTACCTGGGGCTGCAGCAGTGGTGATCCACATGTGCAGAACCTGGCCAGCAGCCAAAGAGTGACTGCAGCCGACCTGGCTCCAGTTTTGGGCAGCGCATGCTGCAGCCATGTGTGCCACCCCACTTTTTTCTGGTGAGGGTTTTTTAGATACTAGAATTTCCCAGTATCTAATTTTGCCACCACACTGCAAATACACAGTGCAGCAAACAGAATCTTGAGCACCATGTGCATTTCACAACACCTCAAAAGGCTTTGAGATGTCGCAAACTGTACGTTCATGCTCATGGGGATGCAGCTTATATGGCTACTTCTAATGCAGCTTTGCAAGGGTGACCTGTTAGAAGGGAAGAGATTGGAAGCCACATGACACAGAAAGGGATTTTAACCCACAGAAACCTGTTGATCCCAGCTTTTTGTTGCATTTTGCACCTGAAGATTTGGCCAGGTTATTAATAGAAAAACCTTATTATACAAATGAGTGAGTCAGGGTGAGTCATGTCCTCTTGGCAGGGATCATGCAAATGATGAAACTGACTTTCAGCTATGGCAAAGGTGCCTGGTGAGACCATGAGAAATGTGTGTTGAAAAGTATGTTTTCTTATTTACTTCTCAGTTAAAAATCCAGCTCTGCTGTGTATCAAATGGGATCCTGGAATTCTCTGCTGAGGGGAAGTAGGGAAATAATGTTCAGAGTAGCAGAAGAAAACAATCAGTATAACATGGCTCTATGTGACACAGGACTCTTGAAAGATCCTACATACATTTTAGGTTCCTTTTGAGGTAACATGCAAAAAAGGAAGAGGTCAAATGATCAGTGTTGTGCTATATGCAAAATGTTTTGAAAAAATTCTTTACCTTGTGTATGCTGAGAAATTAACATTCAGGCGTTTCATTGGGAAGACAGAGAGGTGCCTTTAAAGTGGCTTTTGTTAGGAGTGGTCTATGAAGTTAATGTTTGAGAGAACACTAGAGTCCCTCCACGATAATGGAAACAGCGATTTCTTGCCTTTTTTAGGCTCTATAGTAATTTCTAATTTTTTGCATTGCTCTGCAAATAAATAGAGGTATAAAAACTGTGTGAATCAGTCATGAGAGAAGATTTCTCTTGAGCATTGACCCAAATATTAAAAAAAAGAGCGCGAGCTGCTGGCAGTCTACACTAAATACTTTATTTTGTGCTTTTCAGTTGAGATATGGTTACATAGATAGCTTCTTACACAGGCTGTGATCAGAAAAAAGAAAGCAAGAAGAGACGGACTTTTGATAATAACAAGGGAGAGCAATTTTTTGTACAATAAAGAAAAACAGTTTCAGGTTTTTTTGGTGTCCTTTTGGTAGCTGTGTGTTCTTTCTCTTTAAAATAAGAAAGGTAGCCCTGCTTGCTTTCTAAAAGGTATGAACCTCTTCCTCAATGGAGAAAAAATGATAAATGATTTATGTCTAGGTGCTTTTGACTTATTTGGTATTATCTGGGGCAAAGGGGGTGTGCCTTATCTTTTCTATAGCTCTTCAATTTACCATCTAGCTGCTATCAAGAAGAATTATCAGATTGTGCATTTTTACCTTACAAAACTACAAAATTGGTTCCCAAAACTTAGGGAATCATCAAGTAACCTGATTTGTGTATTTTACAGAATTATAATAGAGTTCTCAACTGGCAATCCTGGACTCTAAAGTAGCCCTACCAGAAGTGGAAAAACTGCAAGCTGAGCCCCAGTTTCCTCTAGCAACAATTTAAAATATTGTACTGTGTCTACATCTGAAAGAAGCCAAATGCCAGTGGAACCTGATGTTGTAGGGTTTTTCCATGGTAATGTGTAGCAGAGGTAGTAATGCCATAATACACACACAATCACTGTTCATAAGAGATCTCCTCATACAGCTATTCCTTCTGCTTTGGTATTTCTTCTTTTATAATTTATGCCAGGGTTGTCCAACTGGCAGCCCATGAGTTGTATGTGCCCCCTGAAGGGTTAGCATGCAGGGTCCTGGCTGACTGCTACCCCAACCCCCTTCTTCCTCAGCTACTCCTATCCCAGTGCCCCAGCCCTGCACAGCAAAGTGGGCAAAGGTGCCTGCATTGGAGGTGGTTGGCGTGTACAAACAGGAGAGTGGGACTGGATTCTGCATGTGTGAGTAGGAGGTGGGGGAGGACAGGCTACCTGTGCTGTGGGAGTTGGGAGGGGGAGACCACCTATGTGTGCAGTTGGAAGAGAGGGGAGCTGGGCTGTGCGAGCCATCCTGTTCACGTGGTGGAAGGTGGCAGGGTGTATTTGACAGCCTAAGTGGTGGTGAGGAGCCAGAGGGTGCCTGTCCATGTGACATGTGACCCCAGGGTCTGTGGCCTGCACAGCAAGCAGCCCCCAGGTCTGGCCCCTGGCTGCCTGGAACGAGATCTTTTGTTCTCTTCAGTTTTGGGGTTATCTTTTCCATTTGGAGAACACTAATCAATACTGATAACTTACAGAGTGAGAATGGTGCTTATGTTTGAAATTATTAAATGGGGCAAATATTTTCTGTATTGCACCTGCCACCCATCTCCCTTTTTAGATGCCTGGGTCATTCTGTTGAAGCTCATCTCCCTCCCTTTTCTGTTTTGAAATGAATCCTGAAAGGAAGAAGAGAATTGTGATTTTGCGCAGTGAGTGATGAAAGAGCCGGGTTCTCTCTAACGCTTCTTTTTGAATCTTTAGAGCAGATAGTAGACTTTGCTCTGTATTCCCCCTGGGTGTTGGTATACGAGCTGAAACAAGCAGCAGAAGAGGAGATCAATGTTCGCCTAGTGTTCCTTACTTTGGTGTGCTCTGCCACCCCGACAGCAAGGCTGTGTACCAGGGACAGCCAGGCAGCATTTTGATTTAGGGCTGCAACTGTTCCCCAAATGAGCTCTCACATGTTAAGGGAAACCTCTCTTCAGAGATTTTGGAAGGCAGAGGTGCTCCTCAGGCACAACACTGTAGCTGTGACAATAGTTTTGTCAAACCATGTAATGATGATCTTTTGCCACTGAATCATTTTTTAGTTTTTTCCAACAAATGTGGACCAATGGCTTCAAGCAATGTTATTGTGTTGGAAATCATGTTGACCACCATGTTTTTTGAGTGGTATTTGGGCCACTTTAAATGAAGCTGTAGTCTGTTTTCACTTGGAGATTTAAGACATATTGATGTGGCTTGTGTACTGCTATGATTAATTTTAAACCCCACATATGCCACTGATCTGAGTGACTCTGTAAACATTAATAGAGCTTCATCCACAGACAGCACTGTTTTATGGACTGATCTGTTTGCAGTTAAGCATTGTGTTGGTTGATCTTCTCTAAGTTTCTGTGCAAATATTTTTCTGATTAATACCAGCAAGATGGGAAGTTGTGGATAAATTTGCCATGTTCCTCTATGAAGCGAGAGGGGCTTTGAGTGTTTATAGAGTAAGATTTCAGTACATTTTTTAACTGGCTTTTCTAGAATTATTCCCTTCAGTAATTTCCATTCACCCTGATTAAAGACCTTTTCCACCTCTAACAAAAATAAAATATCTGCCTTTGCCTTTAGTAAAATCAAAGGGATTACAGCCAGTTGCCTAGGGAAGTTATCTAATAGCAGTCTTCTCTGATTGATTCCCAATTGGTGTATGCTGGTTATTTTAAGTAAAATTGATTCCAAGTTGGCTGCCAACACCTTTGCAAAATTCTTAAACTCTGTATTTAACAGTGAGATGTGTCTATGTGTAGTAACTTCAGTTTTATCACTTCTGGCCTTTAATATCACAGCAATATTGGCTTCTTTCCTACTATTGGCTAAAGTTTGGAAGTCCTGAATAATGTTTAGAAGATTGGTAAGTTTGCAGAGAAAGTGACCCATCAGAGAGATGTACAATTCAATGGAGAACCTGTCTGGGCAACACCCTTTTCCTGAGAGTGAGACTGACTTGCCTCCCTCCCATTCGATCTGCATGGGGTCAGATATAACTCGGAAACCAGCTTCTCCAGTGTAATGGAGCTTGCTGTTTTGTTCTCTCATCCCAATCATGGTACTCATCTTTGCTAAATATTTATGGCCTTTGTTTCCCATCTCAATGTACTTTTGTCTGAACTGATATAACACATTTTCTGTTTCTTCTAACAAGGAAGCATGGAGCAGGACCCACAGGGAGATAGATCTCTTTAAATTTTTTCTTTCACCTATATTTTTATGCAAAATTATGTTTTTTATTTCAGAGAGGAGCAATCTGTGTTCTGCATGTCTTTCCCTTCCAATAGTAGAAATTGTCTGCAATAACTTTCCCCTTAACCCTGCTTTGTAAGTCCCACATATCATATTGGGAGCTAGCTTGCCATTTTTATCATCATTTAAATAAATTTTAGATTTGCTAATGATGGCACCCCAGGCTGCAAACTCATTAAAAAATGCATTGTGCCATTCCCAGCTGCTATGGCTTCTGCTACCCAGCCAATGTCTGTGTGTAGTCATGACAGGAATAGGGACTGACTGGATCAGCTGACCTCCATCTGTAATGGTTAGAAAATCCTTTAAGTGAGTAGACAAAGATATAGAAGGCATTTGAATGAATAGCAAAGGTAGGTGTGAATAAAATAAATAATTCTTTGCTGGTGGCTTCCCCATCATCCAGGATTCATATACCCCCAACTGGAAAAGGTTTTGTTTCCAATATGGGCCATGGGAATTGGATTCCTCTCTTCTATGGTCTGAAATAACAGTGGGCTTTAGGATGAGATTTAAATCTCCCTCAGTAATGAGATCCTCAGAAAGAAATGTCAAGAAAGGAACAAAAGCATTGAGGAAGGCCCTTTGCTCAGTATTAGGGGCATATACCAAATGCAAGGTAATTACTCTGCCCAGTAGTTTTTCTTTAACAATTATAAATCTCATTTTGACATTTTTTCTTGCAAGTTGAAGTCTCTGAGCTAGAAGGTGATGTTTTGAATCACTGTTTTAAAAAAAAAAAGTACTAATGTTAGCTGCAGAGAGTGGTATGAGAAGGTACCTTTTCCCACATCTGATGAGTATTCCTGAAATAGGTCAAATTCGGGACATATATTCTAAATATAAATTTGGGAAACACTGGATTTGGCTAGCCTCTGGGCTCCTTTGAGAAATGCTTCTGAATTTTCTGTGACAAGGGGTGATCAGGTGAAAGAACCCTCTATGAGAAGCCTTTCATACTCCTTACATAGTGAAAAACACACTGTGATTATCTCATGATCCCTATGTGGTGAGAAATCTCTAAGATTATTTCATGCTTCCTAACTGCACATTTGAAAAAAAGGGGGGAAACCAGCTGATGTAACTACTTGGTAGCAAAAGGTTTCAGATGCATTTGTTGGGAAAAATCCCACAGTCAAAAGCTGGTCCAAGTGCTCTCCATACAATTTCCCTTTGCAAACAGCCTGGAACTCCGAGAAATGTAACTGTTTTTCCTTATGGCCTAGCTGCAGACCTCTCCCAGCACATTAGCAAACCCCCTATTTGTTTCTAATTTTTTCTCCACACATCCTGCTTAGCATGCTCTTCCATACACCTGTTATATGTTTATGGTTGCTCTGCATGTTGCTCTGCCATGGTTCCTCTGTTTTACTGCTTTACTCTGTTATTTCTGAAAAGTAAACACAAGTGTGTTTGTTCTCAATGCAAAAGACCCGTTTCAGACCCCTTTCCTCCTCCAGCAGAGCCCCACCACTTCATTTGGAACATACTCACTGTTGCAGCCATTGCTGCTGGTGGTCTCGGTCAAGCTGGCACCACACTCAGTTGAACTGGTCCTTGGAACGTGGGCCTTCCTGTCCACGAGCGAGTGACCAAACAACCCCAGAAAGGCAAGGGAGAAAGAGCATGAGAAAAACTAATCACAGATGACAGGTGCCTGTAATGAAGGGTGCTTTCACTGATAGAGTTACTTAGTCCTTTGTTGTTTCAAAGAACTTGACAAAGTTTAATTAGCACTGTACACTTCAGTGAGGTAGGCCAAAGATCAGTCACATCTTAGAGAAGGAAGAATGGAGAAAAGAGACATTTGCTCAAGACTACAGAGTGTGTCCGTGTCACAACCAGACTTAGAATTAACTAGTGCAGTGGTGCTCTACCTTTTGGCCCTGTGCACCAGGATTGGGCTCCTTGTTTTCTATCCAGAGTCAAGCCCCACACCACTGCCTTCCCCTCCCCAGACCACCTGAATGGGGCTGTGCATGCCCCAATTGTGCCCTGCTGCCTCTGCCCAATCCAGCATACCAGGATCACGACCTGCCACCTCCGTCTGGGCCAGCACACTGGGATCAGCACTTGCAAGCCCAATCCAGAGCACAGGGCTGTTAGCCAGCTTGTGGGGCTCCCCACAGGTCAGGAAATTTGGCAGCAAGGGAACAGCAACTGCTGCCACTACTTCCCTGCTGCCAAACTTCCTGACCTGTGACAGCTACACAGGCCAGGTGACATGGCTCTGCAGGTTGAACACCCCTGAACTAGTGACTGGCTTTCAAACCCAAACTAATATCCTCAGTCCAGGCTGCCTCTCTCAAGACTTTAATATATAATTTAAAAGTATCACAAGGCTATTTAATTCATCATTGAAAATCTATTAACATACCCTTTCAAAATAGTAAGGAGCGTGACGTGCTTTCCAAACCCATTTTCTGAGGCAAAGTAGCTATTAAAAAGAACTAAGTTCTCTTTCTTCGTTTAACACCTAGACATATGCTGTCCTGAGAAAAGCTGTTAGTTTTGCTCCTTTCCGTCCAGTTTGTGTCCTGTGGTGGCATCAACTCCTCCGCTAAATCTGTTGCCTTGGATAGCACTTATGGCTCTGTTCCTGGAGTCTGTGGTTTAAAAAGGATAGATGCCTCTGCTCTGGTCTGTTAACATGCACTTCTCTTACAGTTAATCTGACCCATCAATGGGTTTATATTGTAACTATAGCAATAATTCAAGGATTTATTTTCATTATTCCTAATCAGCGATGTAACTGGGGCAGAGTGTCCAGAACAGCCACCCTGAACGCCAAGTTGGGGATGAGGGGAAAAAACAGCTACTGCTGCAGCTGCACACATGCCAGCCAGAAGTCACTGCAGGCCCCGTGTGTTGTCTGCCCTGGGCACCCAGCTGCCTCATTATGTCTCTGCTCCTAATGTTCCTTCTGCTCCCGCCAGGCTATATTTTTGCTTTTAAAGCCCCTTAACTTAATCCAGTTAAAAACTTAATCTTGTAAAATCATGGCTGCAAACAGATGTTGTCTTTGTGCCACCAAAAACATTTTTATAGCGGCACAAAGTGAAAGCAAACAGATGTCTGTGCCCTTTGTCGTGCCACAAAACCAAAGTACGTGGCTGCAACAAGAGGTCAAATAAATGAATGCCACTCGTTTGTGGTGGACATCTGTTGGTTTGAAGGCAGGAGAGTGCAAGCGGGACAGGACTTCAAGCATGCCCAGGGCTTTAGGGGCCTGATTCTGCAGAGGAATGCCCAGGACACGCAGCATCAGGCCCTGAAGCCCTAGGAACACCTGCCCTGGATTCCCCACTTGCAGAGGCACACCCCTGCATCAGAATCCCTGGACGAGACTCGGCAAGAAAAGAAAACAGCCCCATTTGCAGAGGTGCACCCCAAGTGATATCCTATAGGGCCTGAAAAATGGAAAACATGCAGAAAAGTGCCACGCTCTCCGTCTTGCCCAGCCAGTGCTCTAATCTTTAGAATCAGACCATTTCTGTTTGCAGTTCACAGTATAAATATTTAGTTACCTCCTCTAAAGTATAGATAATGGTGATGTCAGGTGCCAGAGGCTGAGGAGAATTTAACACATCTTGACCTGGTGAGCTTCTAGAAGGGACAGAGTGGACGTCACTAGACCACGATTTTAGGCTCCCTCTTCTGAAAAGTCAGAATTAGTGTGTTTGCTTTTTATAGAACCAGAACACTTCTGAATAGAGCTTAGTCCTGCTTAAGTAAATGGCAGAAAATCTTGAAGACTCTTGAGAAGCAGGGCTGGGCATTTTTTAGAAAGCCTTTAAAAATAAAACTCTACAGAGGACCTAGTTTTTTACCTTTGAAAGTCCATGGCGGTTTTGCTATTTATTTCAGCGCAAGAAGGAAGGGGTCAGGCAGCCTCACTTTCCCCTGTCATGAGAAGGCAGTCCGGACAATGTCTGGGCTATGGGAACTGTGGACATTTCAGAACACTGCTCTGTGCACAGCCAATCTGTCTCTACCTAGCTTTGTTCATTTAGTTTTCTCTTCACCAGTCTCTGTCCACTCCTTCATCTTCTTTTCTTTTCCATCCCTGTCCATTTTCATCTGTTCCTTTACATAATATTTCCTATTTCACTTAGCCATTCCTTCACTTTCCTCTTCTCGCTTTCTATCACTATCTCCTCCTACCTACTTCAAATGCTCCTCTTCTCTTTCAGCACTAATCTATAATTTTTCCTTCTGAATACAGGTTCTGCTTCCTAAAATGTATTGTCCTGACAAAACTCAGGAAATAATACCTTCAAAACCATAGCTATAACAGCAGATTGTTGGCAGGCTGAATAGGTAAATCAGGGTCCGTATCTACTGAACTTTTTTCAGAGCGCAGCTGACAACAATTAGATGATTCAGGACTGGTTCCTGCACTTATGCAGATTTGTTTCTGCTGCAGTCTTTGTTTAGGATGAGCCACCTTCCCTGTCATTCCTAAGAGATTTTAAAAAAGGGGGCAGGGGGCATAGTTTATTTTCCTTTATCCCAGAAGTAAGATATCTGGGGGGTCCCATCCCCCCCATGGCCCTTATTTGCTGTGTGATTTTTAGCTCCTTAATTTCCACAGGGGTAAATTAGGTTGAATACTACTTCCTTACTTCATGGAGGTAGGAAAGGTTTTAATACATTGAATTGGAGGGTTGTTTTTACACCCCCCTTAATCTTTGTCTCTCCAAACTGAATATATTTAGTTTCTTTAGCTTTTTCACATTGCAACCCCTTTCATATTTTTATTGCTTGCTTCTGGATCCTCTTCACTTTCTCTACAACCTTCACATTTTCTACAACAGAGCCATACAAACACAGTACTAATATGTAAGTAAATATGATGGAGGAAGCCACTTCCTTTTTGAGATTTCAATTCCAGATCAAAGGCCCAGATTAAAAACAAACGAACTAGCAGAAATTTGATATCACAACTTAACGTTTATATTCTTCAAGCCAAACCTCCCTGTTCAAGAGAACAAACCAAAAATTACATGAACCCCAGTCCCTACATAACTCCAGAAACTTGACTGGTACATGTAGTAGCTTGATTTTTAGATAGCAATGTGTTTTAAGCCAAGCATAACCCCATGTAAAAGAAGGTTATTAACCACAGCTGCAGTGATTAGCCTTGTTTATAACTCTGAAGCAATAAGAGTAGATTGAATCACTCTGAAAAAAAAAATCTGTGATTTGCTGATCAGCTCACTAAAGAACCAAGTATTTTCAGCTAGCAAACTTATCTTGTCCTGAGCCTCTAGGAGAAATCATAGCTACCGCAGCAAGCAACTGGGGAATAAAATGACCTGCAGTGCAAGACTAAGATTATCCTTATAAAATGTTGGATGTTTCTTTATGGTTTGACAAATCAGCTCCTATTATATAAGATTTCCCATAGTAGTCCGAGTAATACACTGGATTCAATGGTGTATTTTTACACTAAAGCTATATAGGTCTCATTTGAAAGTTCTTCATGTTGGGGGACTGGCAGGGTTTTGTGCAGTGTTATGTGAATCTCTGAATACCAGGTCCATTTAGCTGCAGCTTTGGTGGGCTGTGCCTTTAATGCATGGAGTTGGGAAAAGAGGGAGGAAAGGAAATCGGAGAAAGCTGGAGTGGTCAAGCGTACAGGCTACATACTTTTCTCCCAGTAGATGCCATTGTGCTTTTTTTTTTTTTTTTTTTTCCAACAGTTTTTCTCCCCAGAAGCAAATTTTAGTTCTGAAGATCTGTAAGACTTCTGGCATGCATTCTAAATGGTAAGTGAAAGCCTTGCTTTTCTTATTATTTTAAATATTTAATTAAATCTATTTTCTTCCCACTAACGAGCAGGATTAAATTTAACTAAAATGGCATGCCAAGGTTAGGGTGTAATTTACAACAACTTCCTGATATTGAGATTATCTTAATGAAATTGTTCCCTCTTTTAACTGTGTTTATGTTGAGAGAAAAAAAATTAGCGTTTAGTGAGTTTCCATTACAGCAACCGACGTGAAACAAGCCTGGCTATTCTAAGTGTATGGTTTGTTAAAGGGCCTTTCATTGGACAGGCCAAGTCTGCTGTGCAGGAAGCCAGTGTAGATATGGAAGGAATTTTTTTTACTGTTGTTTGATTTCAACAAACTTAAATTCAGACTGAACTTGTTTATGACCTTGACTGTTGGCTATGATTCTTCCCTTTAGTTTCCTGTTTCTTCCTTTACTATTCCTGGGTTGGAGTTAATGGCATTCACTTAGTGGGTTGCCAATACAGTATCTCTGCTTTTGTCATGACCAGCACAGCCACATGAGCCATAATTTAGTCAAAATGTGGTACTTTAGCTGTAAAAATAAAACATGGCCTAGATGGTTTTGGTTAACTAAGGCCTGTTAACTTCCTTTGGGAGCTAGGCTCCTGTGTAACTTAGATGCTTTGGAAAATTTCAGCTGCAACAGATGTGATTTCAAATCTTTGCAAACTGGCAATGTAAAAGTGAGTTATACCTTAACTGGTGTTATCTGAGGCCAGATATACCTTTAGCTAGGAAAGGAAATAAGCATACCACAAAGAGTGTAAGTGACTACCGATGGGGGGAAAAAAAGCTTTAAAAAAGAGGCATTCTGGAGAACTGCAAACTAGAAAATAAAATATTAAGACCAGAAAGATGACACATGCACATTAATTATGCTGAATGCCCTAGCATGCCTTATGGATAATTCATTACATAATTTCACATTCAAATAATTAGTACGTGATTACCAGAAAATATTTCTACTTGATTGAACAGCTTCAACACTCTGAAGTGCTTTTACCTGCAAAAGAAGTAAAATGTTCCAATTACAAGTACCCCTAGAAGAACAACTGAAGCCAAGAAAGCTGCAAACAGGTCAACTGTAGCTTGGGTCTTGATGTTGGGCAGCAAAACTTCTTCACAACGGGCTCCTGTATAATTTTCAATACATCTGTGAAAACATGTTTTATATAAATTAGTTCTTGTCTGCTTCCATCCCTTTGGTGAAAAGAGGACTTGCTTTCTGACTCAGTACAATTCAACATTTATATTCAGTTCCATAACAGGTTCCTGATGAAATAAGTACATAAATACTCTATAAAGAGTAACAAGAATTTGACAGCATCCCCTTTAACTTTGTAACATCATTGATGCTTGTTTATCCCATGCCATTCTCTGCTAAATTATTCCAAACTACCCTTTCCTAAATGTTGCTAAATCACTATGCTTTCCACAGGAGACCCTGTGGAAGGGGCAGATTTATTTGGTTAACCAACTGAACTTGGATAGGTTTAATTTCCCACCACATCTTGTCAGCCGACATGGTGTTTTTTGGGACACAGAGGGGGCGGGGCAGAGAACACAGCCCTGCAAATGCAAAGCAGCCCTAAAAATAACTCAAATGATACTTCTCTTGCCTTCCTGCCTGCATTTCCTGCATAGTTAGCTTCCTCTTGTTTGAGAACTCTTACTGCCAGTTATGACACATCAAGGGAATGGGTATTCATTGAGACATGAGCCATATAAAACATTTGACAAATTGCTGTGACAGTTACATTAGCAGAGTATACAAGGAAATTATAAGTATGCCAACACACATTATGTGCTTGTGAAATGCACTTACTTTCATAGATAGACCTAGCTGAAAGGCTTCCATACACCTGCTTTCTGTCAGACTTCAGAGAACCTTTTCCAAACTAAGGAGATGCGTTATGTCAAAAGCTGCAATGATCTCCAGAAAAATAACAGAATTCTATTAACTGAGCACCACAGGGAGCTATACCTTTTTAAGAGCCTCTGGTGGGGAACTATACCTCTTAAGAGGCTCTGACTTAGCTGATTGCAGCTGACTGTTAAGGTAAGCAAAGCCTAGACTCGTGTTATATGATGCTGCTCAGTTAGAATTCAGACACTGAAAAAAGTCCTTCAGAATCTTTGGCTCAGAGCAAACCGTGTGTGGTCCCAGGTTTTACATGAACAAACAATCTATCTCGAGTGGAAAAATGGGACAGTTAGCCTCATCTGAGTCGAAACTATGGAAATATGGAGGATAAATGGAAAGTTGATGATTTTCTCTATATGTGTAAGCAATGAATGCCAGCAAAAAGGAAGATGGGGGGGGGGGGGGGGGGGGGGGTGTGGGTTTTGCACGCGCAAAAAAAAGGAGGGGGGGGGGGGGGGAGGGGGGTTGTCTTGTCTCTGACAACAGCTGTTTTTGAAGAACTTGATGTTTTGAATCCTTTTTTAGTTAACTCAGCCAGTTGAGGCTAGCTAGGAAACTGAATGCAGAAATGTGAGGTATATTGCACTCCATGTTAAAATTAAACCTAGTTAGACTTTTTAAACTGAGTAAAAAAAAAAAGTGAAACCAGAAGGGTTTGTGACTGATTTCAAGCTAAAAAGTTTGTTTTAAAGTTTTGGGAAACTAAGTCCATGCTAAAAGACTGCATCATGATTGGGATCTGGGGGAGGGAGGGGGCAGGAAGAGAGAATCTCTTTATCTTTCTCTCTTTCCTGGAATTCCTAGAATTAATCACTGATATAGCCGTTAAAGGCCAGACTGAAATGTATACAAGATAGATAGTTTTCTGATCCTGTGAGCATGAGAGAATGTGAGCAAAAAATGGCCTGAGGCGCAGAGGCATGTAGTGCTTGCAGCTGGAGTCCATGAGAAATAGCAGATGGAACTGCACGTCATGGCCAAGAAAATGACAGAAAAACTGGATGACATTACTTCAGATGAGTTGGTAAATACCATCAGAATGAATGCAAGGTAGCCGAACAGGCTGATGACAATGCACTAGCTTAAAGGGATTTTTTTAATATAGGCAATGGACAGTATTGAAGCAGAAGATGACTAGACAACCTGAAACCTAATGAGATGCATATGCAAAAATGCATGAATTAAATCTTGGAATACTCCCTGATTGTTCCTGTAATAGAGATACTTTTAAAGAGAGAGAAATTCAGTCTCTCCTCCTTCCCCTTCTCCTACTGCTGTGAAATACACCTTTCCTAACAGACTGCTGCATGCAGTCCTCTATTATAAACTGATCGTTAGGCTTACATGACTGTGAAAAAAAGGTTGTAAGCTAGATGCTATTAGTTGGATCTAGAACTAAATTACCACTACATGAATATGTTAATTTCATACTGATTTGAATGATAAACAATCAACTTTAATGGTTTGTTCAGTAATTCATACCACACAAAAAGTCAAAGTAAAATAGTTTCACATGCTGAGGTAGTAAACAGAAATCAAGGGGGCTTTTTTGTTTGGTTTTAGAAAATGTACCTATTTACTTATCTAACTTCTTAAATAGATTCAGTGCATCACAAATGGAAAATAAACATTCAGCAACCATATTTACCATACATCTGATACTGTCTTCATTAATTTTTCATTAAAAGAGTCTGGAAGAAGAGTCTGAATCTGTTTCTCAGTTCCTTATTCTTGACCTTTTGAAGTCACGGTAGGCATATCTACATGAGGCATTTACTGCAGAGTAGACTAACTAGCTGGGCAGTAAATGTCTTATGTCTACACGTGTGGCCGTATGAGACTGCAGGACACTATTGAACTCTGCAGCAGGACAGTACTTGTAAATACAGGGCACTTGAACATGTGATGGGACTCTAATCTCCAAGGTTGCATTCTATGTCCCCTAAATTGAAACAGTGGGTTTTTAATCGAAACCCACCATTTCAATTTTCCTGTCATGTTAGGACAAGGAGCCCAATCCTTTTTTTGTCAGAGCCTGCTTACAGCCAGGGTGCCAGCTGCTGGCGGGCGAAGTCAGGCTGCCAGCAGGTCGGGTGCTGCCCCAGCCAGCTCGGGGTTCAAGAAGAGTTGGATTGGGCTGGGTGCTGCCTCCCAAGCTGGAGCAGCACCCGGCCTGCTAGCAGCCCACCCAGGCAGCCCTGGTGGGCGCTGCCACTGTGTTGCCACTGGGGTCCCCCAGTCTGGAGGAGGGAGGGAGGGAGGGAGAGGGTGCTGTTTTTCCCCCCCAATGGGTCACATCTCCTCCCCAGCTGGCAGGCCACCTGAGGAGGAAGTGGGGGTGAAAAATAGCCCTCCTCCACCTGGCTCTGGACCCCCATCTGGGCTGTGCCTGGTATACGATGGGGGGAGCCCAAAGTGGGGGCTTTACTCCCTCCACCTAAGCCAGAAGCCAGGGCATTCTCCCCCCCCCCCCACACACACACACACACACTCCCTCCTCAGCTGCCAGCTGGCCAAGGAGGGGGCATGGGCAGGTGGCTGGCCCGGTTCCAGCTCTGGGTATGGGGGAGAGAGGGAGAAATTCCCCTCTGGAGGTTTTCCCCTTCCCCCCATTATGCCCACACCAGGAAGACCAGAATGGGTCCAGTGCAGGGTTGTGGGGGGGGGGTCCCCCCACCCCTGCTTCTCAACCAGCCTGGACTGAGGAGGGAGGTATGGCCAGGGGGACCAGATCCAGGAACGGGGAGGGGAGGAAGAAATGCCCCACTGGAGCTGTTCTACCCTCCCCCGTTCCTTGGTGCTGGGGAGACCCTGGCTGGAGGCCAAGCTGGGGCAGGGGTTTCCCCCCCATGCCCCCTCCTTAGCTGGCTGCAGACTGAAGAGGGGGCATGGCTGGGGGGATGCCTGTCCCCCGGCTCTCTGCAGTGGCCGGCAGGCTGGGAGGTGGCTCTAGTGCCCCCTACTGCCTGATATAGGCCACTGCAGGGGTCTGCCTGCCTTCCAGGTTTGAAAAGTGAACATCAGTTCACTTATCAGTTCAATCTAGGCAGTTTACAGAAAATTGTAAAGATTGATATGATTCAGCCTTAGGCTTTCTGACTGTCTGTACTTAGCCCAAATTTCTACAGCAATTCATTATAACATCACAAGTGAACTGGCTTCAGGTCAGGAATAAGATGCCCAATATTTGAAAATCAATGACCTGATTGGACACAGAATTATTCCCAACTTTTTAATTCATTTTCTTTGCATGCACAGAGAAATAGTACATTCCAGTATCTCAGTTCAGTCCTTCAAATGCTCAGTCTTATTTTCAGTTGTCAGGTATCAAAGTTATCTATCACTGATTACATAGCCATCACTTGAGACCTGATCTGTTCCTATTTATAGTACTTGATTCCTGAGGGCTGTGTTGACCAGGCTTAATCAATTGATTGCTAACATTTAAGACATTCTCCATAGTCTGTCACATGTAATATGTAATTTTTATAGTATCCTTCATATAAAGTACAAAGAATTTCATATAAATCATGCAAAGAATTTAACATTGTAATAAAATAAAATATAGTTTTAAAGAACAATGCTCCTCTCACTTAAGTAGAAAGAAGGAAATGCTGAATATGGCTGCACTAGAAAAGCTGCAACAGAAATAGTGTATGCACAAGCAGTAAAAATGCATATATGTATTCTTGCAGGCTGATGGCAGGGATCAATGGAAGGAAAAAATCCTAGAAAAGGAAAGGCAGATAGGATTCAGCATCATTGTAAGAGGCAATCAGTCACTTGAAGGAAAAGATGGGGCAGCAAAAGTAAAAGAGACTTTCTACAATTTGTAGAGTTGCAGAGAAGGGCCTGGGGAAAAACTAAGATTAATGAAGTAGTCTGATCAGAGAAGAGAGATGTGGTAAGTACTCCAGGAGTAATACTAAAAACTAGAAGGAAAATGTTGAATGTGCTGGACAGAAAAACAGCAAAAGTCGCTGAGAATGTGGTGGCACAATTTTATTAGCTGCAGAACAGAACTTGTTGAAATTTGTGCCTTGAAGCACTAAGAGGTAGAGAAGTTTTTATAGCGAGAGGTCCTAGACTGTGCAATGACACACTGTAATTTAATCTGAACACTGAGGCAATAACCAAAAATGGCAGAAGGAAAATGAACTACTTGAGTAGTTCTCATCCTGTTCTCAGGATGAAAGCATTCCCCTTCCAGACCTAGTAGAAGTTTCTCC